ACGGGGTCCGTATGGGACAAGGGGGGACAAAAGGGGACAATCAATTTAATTACTTCGAAGGATAAATAGTCTACCCTTTTATATTTTTTTTGGGGGGGGGGGGGGAATACGATGAGCTAGTTGTACGATTCTTTTATAATCTGGACATCTATCAAAACAAGGAAAATGACAAAAATATACAGATGGTTTTTTTCCCTTTTGGAGACCCTGTCAAGGCCACAATACTTACACAATTGCAACTAACTCTGTTTTTCATCAGCAGTGATTAATGCACTTTACGACTTGTTTCGACGTTGTAATTAGGGCTTCACTATTCGGGGTCAGTTCTGGTCTTAGTGTCTGATAACAACATTCCGATGCTCTGGTGGTACACTTCTTTCATATCTATTTGTACCGTAGGTACAATGGCCGACAAGGTTGGGTATACATTACACAAACATCATTTTCTGCATATTTATAAACATTTACTCATTCACCTACCCCTAGATGCTATGCACTATCTAAGAAGTGTAGTTTAAACTTCCAAGCCTACCATAGTACATGTATCACTGTTCACCAACACACACACACACACACACACATCACAATGTGTATATGATCATTTGGTCACCATCGTGCAATAATATTTCTACATTGTCGACACATATACATGTTACTGCTCTGTATACATTTTCGATAGTATCCATATAATTATATAAAGATAAGGTCCATGTTGTATCCTGACCAGTGCATACACGAATATGTACAATATACACATAATCCCACATTATTGTATAACCTTTAACACTAGTATCAAGTCAGCTATCTATATACATCTACACTTATTTGTCTCATACCTAGCTGTATCTATAATTCATCTAGTCCACACCCATCACCCACACAACACACCATAACAAACTCTCACAGACACCTATCCATTACACAGGTTAATTCACACATCAACCTCTTAAGAACCGTAATAATAATAATAATTCGAGGTTCTGATATACCGCTTTTTCACAACCTAGTTCGGAGGTCGTCTCAAAGCGGTTCACAAATTATTATCCGTGGTTATAGGGTATTTGCAACCAGCCAATATCTTATTCAACTTCCTGGGGAGCATACAGCCAGTGCTGCCAATTCGGTGCTCACAGCTAGCATTCAACAATTCTAGCACTGTCCAACCACGTACTCATTAACAGCTGAGTAGACTGGAACAAGTGGAGTAAAGTATCTTGCATCAGGATACAGCACAGTGCCGTGCCGTGACTCGAACCCGCAACCCTTTGGTCACGAGCCCGGTATCCTACCACTAGACTAACCATAAATAATAATATACTATGTGTCGTGTACATCAAACCTACATACTACACTTGTATAGAAGTAATATAAATAGCGTTTAGAGAGAGAGAGAGGTGTGTTGGTGGGATAGAGAGAGGGGAGGCAAACTTGCATGTAAAAATTGTATATGCTTAAGTAGCCAGTGAATTAATCAGAAACTGCCGAGGCGTTGGAAATATACAGTATACAAAAATAAACTGCCTGTTCATAACAAACAGCTATATATCTAAAATAGGTTTCCATTTTCTTCAACCTGTTTCAAATTCCATTTTGACGTGCTCACTTTTACCGTTATTAATATAGTTTTGAACAATGAAATGATCTTTAATGACATAAATTAGTGCATTGAGATTTAAGGATTTGCAGAGACATCTAGTCTTGTATATATAATGCTCAACATTATCAACATAGCTGGAAAGGTGAGAAATAATTCCAAAAAGGAAGGATTCCCTATTAAATGAAAACGGGAGAAAATAAAGATCCAGCAGAGTTTTATATCTCTGCAGTAATTCCTGCACTTCTCGAAATTTCCGTATACAATGAGTTATTGTTTCATGTTCTATGTTACACAAAGTACATAACGGGCTAGGGGTTAAGTTTATTTTAAAGAGAAAAGTGTTTGTAACGAAAAAGTGATGTAAAACTCTTGACTGTAAAAGGAATTTTGAAAATTTTGGTCCATTTTTCATTATCAAGGTCATAACTCCTGGTTCCATTTATTGGTCACTGTAGGTGTTGAAACTGGTGCAATAATACAGTTATAAAAATCTTTACCTACTTTTTTAGTCTTAGAAAAATTTCAAAGAGAAGACGTTGGAAAGGTTGGAAAGGTCTTTCTATAGCTATTTGAGAGTCAAATTTCCTAACTAAATGCTTGGCAGCTGAGACTAGCCCTTGGTCCTGGAGAAGGTTTGTATGGATATGGAAATTAAACCGAAACTCCTCACGTGAATAGAAAGTCAAGCTGTCAGAATTTTTAACCAGGTCATTCACTGTAAATATTCCTGCCTCAAACCAATTTCGATAAAAACAAAATTATTACCCACTTAAATATCCTTGTTATATAAAAATTATATTATTTACTCAGTTTAGGGACACGATACTTCAAAACTGACGTGTGGAAAATGAAAAACAAAAAACATCAACATTTTAGTTAAATGAAAATGTGATGCATTTTAGGACATTTGTTATAGCCTGCTTCTCATAAAAGTAATATTTGTATTTGTGATGAAATTGAAACCTCCCAAAAGTCGTCACACTTAACTATTAAACATTAACAAATACGGGCAAAAACTTAAATTTAATGCAATTACCTCATGATATTGTTGCTGGAACAAATTAACATTAAATGAGGCGTCCTATGTGTATTACTTACTGGCATGACGGACACGCGGAGTCATTGTTGAGCTACCGTATATGGACGCTATTTGCAAGAAAGGAAGATAGCAATTACAATATTATAGATACTATTGATTATTTACACGGATAGACAAATTCTGATAATTCTTGGTAATAAGTTTACAGATTTCGTGCAAAGACGACGGGGAACCATTTTTATAGAGTTTGTCCGTTTTGAAGACTCGTGTTCTGTACATACTAGACTAAATGAGTATCCAATGTGTCGGTACGGATATTAAGATTTATCTCCTGTTCTCCTGTTCGCCTTTGATCGCGCTAGGAGCTTTGGAGACGGTATTGCAAAATACCAGGAAAATTAGATCACTGGTGAGCCACAAAATTGGAACTGCTTTCCTAGGAGCACGCCAATGGACAGTATATGCGCGAGGCCACATGACGAGTGATACAGATCGTTTTAAATGATTTACGGAGGCAGGCCTAAACCGGGCTATATATGGAAACACGGCTTTAAGCCGCTTTACTCCTAAAAATTACTTAATACACAATATGTTTTCTCTATTAAGTTGTATACGTTGCAACAACAGTGCGGGTTGCGTGGTATAGATCCCGATAAAGCAGCAGGGTTTTGTGAATGAGTGTGTTCCCGGTGATCAATTCGACGTCGGCGAGGATTTTTTGTGATATCAGTTTACAAATTGTTCAACAGGTTTTTGTGACAGTTATCAGTTTATCACGGGATCGTTACACATGGAGGTTTTTGATACCAATTTAGAATTTGGCAAGTCATTCAGAGTTGGTTGTTTCGCGAAACTTAATGATTTCTTATAGAATTCATAAAACGTGACGCCTATTTTTTTCGCGAACGAAACAAATATATAACCAAATTACAACATATAGAGAAAAACATCGAGATTTTTCTTATTTACAAAGAATTGATAAAACAGACACATACAAAATCTGTGTATAAGGCAGTATTGGCATAGCTTTTACCTCTTGTTCAGATAATTTTCGAAGTATATTTTTTTTGTGCTGCAATATGTGGGGAAAAGGGCAATTTAACAGATGAGAAAATGAATATTGGATTCGGAAGAAAGTTGAAATTATTTTAAATAATATGTAAAAGTGTATATGTATATCGTCAGCTGGATAACCGAACTACTCGGTAGTGAAGCGGACGTAAAACCTATCAGTCAATCAGTGTATGGTTCCTATTATACACTACGTGTTGTTGCGTCAACAGCATTCTTAAAGGGGTTAAATGCATCAAAATGGTAACGTAGGAACATAAAACGTCTCCCACCCACACTGCAATTACCGGTGATGGAGAAATATCGTAATAAACAAGTTATGTATGATTAGCCTTTCAGCGAACAGCAGTGTCTAAATTGGTGCTTTTTGTTCGAGGACAATCGCCGGTACCATAGAAACACGCGCACGTGGATGTCTTGGCAACCAATAATCTGTTTTCGTAATTCTTGCATTGTGTACCTTTGATTTATATGCATGGATTTAATACAGTGACGGAAGTAAACGTAGGGACGAACAACACGTGTGCACGTGGATGTAACACGGGGCCTACCGTATCGATGGATTGTCGGCGACCAATCATCGGCGACCGCGCTTGTTTCTCTGATACTGTGCACCTGTGATTAATCTCACACGAACATATGCACGGGCATGGAGCTTGTCTGTTTCACGGATGGCGATATAGCAAGCGACCAATCATTGAACATACCTTGTTTTGACACAAGCATATGCACGGACATCGATGTATGATTATAACTGTAACTGACGGAAGGGGCGTGCCGGAGTCAACGCGGCCACCATATAACGACTAACAATGTCCGTCCTAATTTTATTTGAAGAAGGAAAATACTCTTCACATTCACATCAATGACAATCACCATTGACATTATTTATAGACGCTTGGTGGCTCAAAGATTACCTTTAGCAGGAGACAGCCATTTGTGTTAAGGACCGTTTGGGATAAAGTTGACATAAAATACGACTTTGTTTACTATGTAACTGTCGAGTTAAGTATGGAGGAACACGCATTACTGAGCAATGCATTGGAGTTTAGGATGGTGAAATTGTAACGAACGTTTTCTTGGTGACGCTTGGTACGCGGTCAACTGGAATCTCACAAACGCAAGACTCGTTGTTTTACAAAATGTTATATACATTTGTGTTAATGAGACAGATAATTTATTACATTGGATTTTTTATTTGTTCTGCTGATGGATACCAAGACACAAAAGAAGATCTTCTGTTCAACTTGCAGAAGAAACTGTTGACAAATTATAGTAAATCTATTATTCCAGGCGAGTTAAAGGACAGCAAAAGCACAATTCGAGTCAAATACTTCCTGCGGTCGGTGAATGACTTCAACGAGGTGTCTGGTCATCTCCAGACCACGGGTGTCCTTGGGATTGTTTGGAGGGACGAACGTCTAATGTGGGACTTTGACCACTACCCCGTGCGGTCAATCACATTTTCTATTAACGATGTATGGATTCCAAACGTCATCATAGCTAACCCGGTGCAGGAGTTTATGTTGTTGCATTCCAAATCCAACACGGAAATAATTCGACTGAAACGCAACGGAGTCATACAACTTTTCACAGGCGGCGTCCTAGCAACATCGTGTACTCCAAACGTGCGGTATTTTCCTTTCGACACCCACCGTTGTGAGATTGTATTCACTCTTCTAGAACTATTTCACTCTTTACACGTTCTGGACCTTACATATTTGGAGGAAAATAAGGCAATGGATATTGTAGAGGAAAACGCAAAATGGACGATTACCCAAGAACGACCGTATGTATCAAGTTTTGGCGATACGTCTTTTGTCTATGTTGCCTTTCCGTTAACACTTGAACGAAAACCGATGTTTTTTCTCATTACCATCATCGCTCCTGTCGTCGTTCTCAGCATTCTGAATGTCTGTGTGTTCTTCATTCCTGCACAAGCCGGCGAGCGTATATCGTTTGCTGTTAGTGCATTACTGTCGTTCGCAATATACATGACGATTCTTTCATCTGAAATTCCGGATAATTCAGACCCTGTTCCTATTCTTAGTTATCTACTTATGCTTAAATTTGGCATCAGCGCCACGATAGCTATATTGACAGTGTTTGTTGTGCAAATATTTCATCGTGATAACGATAAACCGATTCCTAAAAAGTACCGTAAACTGGTCAGGATTATGCGCGGTTGTCGAAAAAATAAAGCTAGAAAAAACAAATGGCCTACAAACCACGTAAGTGCCACCCCGCTTGTGGGTAGAAGCGGGATTTCATCCGATGCCATGTTAACACAAGAAACGGCTTTTGCCACAAAAGACTTGTCTCCGTCCGGTGACGTCACCATGCGTGACCATTTTTCGACTCAAGGTCTCCAGTCAAATGGCGACTTCCGGGATAATGACAATTCATGGGAAGTTACTGAGGATGACATTACGTGGCAGCATGTTTCAAAAGCTATAGACAGAATGGTGTTTTGGATTGTGTTCTCATTCATTATTGTTGAAATCATTGTATGGATAGCGGTTACAGGTATCAAATATTATATAGACCATTTTCAGTGACAAGTCAATATTTTTGACCGGTCTCGTCCTATATTATAAATAGTTCGCAATTTGTTATAAACCATTATCGCCTGCCATTTTTAATATTTGGTCGTAATCAATTTTGGTTATTTCAAACTGGCGATTAGAAGGTGGTAATTTTTGTTTATGTTTATGTTACGTATAATATTAAACAGTATAATGCTATATTTTCAAATTTACTCATTTTCTTTTTTTAATCTCTCAAGATATGGATATACATAGTATGTGAGACTTCAAGATAAAGTACTTGAATACACTTCCAATTGTATTAATCATTTGTCTCTATAACGGACGTAGGTGTGTGGGCCACAAATTTAAATTTAGTATTAAAAGATATCGGGGAATCCCACGCGGTATTCGTTCCATGATCAAAAGGCATCAGTAACACTTTAATCGAAAAATGGCGACCATGTTTTCAAATTAAATGTTAAATAGCTGTTGTTTTCGTCGGTAACTGAAATGAGCAATTGGTAGTTTCTACTCCTGCTTAACGCTCAGCAAATTAGGAGTGGGACGACTGGTTCGCCCGTTGTCAGTATAATGTGACCGGGTGGGGCGTCCTGCTGGGTGTCTTCGGCAGTATGTTTCAGTGAGGTAGCACTATAAAGTCGGCATCAGTTCCGCGCTATCACAAGGAGATAAACACGAACATATCGCAGCCTCCCAAAATACACACACATACATTACACGCATGCATCTTGCACACAGGGGAGGCCGTCCTTAAATGACCTTAGCTGTTAATAGGACGTTAAACAAAATCAAACAAACAAACAAACAAACAAATACCAGAAGTATATTGGATAATTCATTTTGGGTTTTTTCTGAAAAATCAAACAAACAAAAATTGAAAGTTCATATTAAATATTTCTGCACTATGTATCTCTTACGCTTCTACGCACAACGTCGGCGTTATTTTGGCCTAATTGAACGACGTGGTTTCAAAAATGAGATTTTTGGGGAAGGTGATTTTGTAAAAATGAAATAATTACTACAATGCGCAATTAAAAATCAAAAGCTTGAACTCTGATTTCGAGAGCTATAACTTATGTGTAGATACATACGCAAGAGCGAGAAAAAAAGGAAAATTAAAAATTGCAATCACCCTAAAGAGAACACATTTCGCGACAAATTCGAATAAACGACTTTTTCCTAATTAGTAAAAAAGGAATGTCACATAAGTTAATTCGGTTGCATGGTATCAGGGGTTTCAAAGAACATTTAAGAAATTATCAGATTCCAGATAATTAGATAGAATCGGCAATTTTTGGGTACATCAGCAAAACGGGATTCCCGACTTCTGTAATTAGATAGCATACATATGTGTATTTCTTAAAATGTTATTGTTTAGCAGATGTTTGGTTTGATATAATTATCATTACAATGTTCTTAGTTTTAATTCTTGCTGATTTGAATGTAAAAGAATAAAGTCGGGCATTGAGAATCAATTTGTCGCGAATCTGAGTAAAAAGTTTGGATACACTCGACTGTGACAAAGACATTCTTTATATTTTGAGAGAATAGCGTAACTGTCTTGAGCTGCATTTTAAAGTTTTTGCTTCTCTTAAATACAGAAATAAATGGAGAAACCATTTACTGTACGCTTTCTCCTTCTATTTTCATAACACCCGATCATTTTAAACGTATTTGGTATTTCAAGAAAATTCCCTTCTGATTGATATTTGATATTCATGAGCTAGTAATCTAATCTTTGTGCTGAAGTATCGGGCTTATAAGCGAATTGCATATATCCATGTTTTACACGCTACACGAAATTCTATTAAAGACGTACTTTTGAAATGGCTTCTGCTTTTGAACGATTGTGTTATATGCGTAGTAATTGACAGAAACAAGTTTCATGTTGGATTGGTCCATTTTCTTTTAATAAAAAGTATTTTTATAGCTCGACTGAGCCTTTCGTTAAGTGCTTTATCGCCATGTACCGCCATAATCGCTAAGTTGTTAAATATTCTTCTGTTTCTATAGTGTTTAATGTTTCTAGGTATAAAAAATAAACACATCGGTCTCTAGAATTAATTCTAAATGCCACCTGAAGCATTAAACATGAAGTGTTTGTCAGTGTTAGCATCCTTATAACAATTTAAATGTGTGCAGTCATTTAAGCAAATGATATTTGTCTTTAGAGTTAAGGACGTATACTACCTTAAATGTGATGTATGTAAGAGTTATCTACCTTGAAATTATTGAAGTCTTTCCAGCTTTAAAAGCAAAGGTATGAATATTTAGATTTAACGATTTATGTTACCTTAAATATTTTTCATGTGACATATATTATTATTTCCCAAGGAACCAGTGTTACGCCAATTTATTGAAGCTATCATATTGATTTTTTGGAGTTATGGAAATTTGCCAACTTGCATTCTTACATTCTACATAAAATAACCCTGTATTGAGTTAACCAACCCCCAGTAAACCCTATTCAATCTATATAAAATTATCTTGTATGCATTCTACATGTTTATATCCTATATAGAAAACCCTGTGTTCAGTCCATATAACAACGCAGTATCCTGTCTATATGAAATGTTACTGAATACCGTAGTTTGTAAACAATTCTGTGTGGTACAGGATCTCGTAAACATTTCCATTTGAGTGAAACTTGATAGCTATCACATTATCTATAACGACGTAATATGACAATAACACATACATAATGAGAGCATCTACTAAATCTGTATGTGATAACGTGCCACAACATTTGTGTAAACATCGACATTCCCCAATATAGTCTTGTCTAAGCCATCTGCTTGCACACCAATCACAAAATTGACAGTCGGCATCTAATTGGTCGGATAAGCTTACTTATGTATGTGATTACCTATTTTAACGTGTTGCTTGTCCCTAAATGACTCGCATTGTCAATGTGCCGTGTAACAATACCGATACAAACACAACAGGTATAGGCTGACATGACACATCAGATGCCGTCTTTCAAATATGTGTTGGAATTGTGTTCTAGAAGCATTGTTTTCCGACTTTTTGTATTTCAAGGTTTTCTAGCATCTCGTAATAATATTTTGGCTAAATCATTTCGCCAACGTTGAAAATCAAAAGAGTTTCTGATCTAACGGCTTAAATTGACCTCACATTTTCCATCGAAAAACTGTAGATCTAAAAAGTTCTTAGTGTTTATTTGTAAAAGGGAAGAAACCATCTTTTCGTGGACACTATTAGAAAATTATGAAAACAAAAATATGTATGTGATAATGACAGTTTCGGTCACATCATAGTGTCGAGGATCTACATGTAATGACCAATTCTCCAACCTATTTTATCGGCTCTATAAGCAAATTGATTCAGTGCTAGGATCAGAGACATCGCTCACAGACGGCCAGGGTTCGATCACCAGTTAAGTGTGGTATTATGAGAGATAGTATCTTCTGCCCCCTACAGACCTATTCGCCTCTCGTTACCATTAGTGGAGTAAACTACATGGGTCTCCTGTTTCTCGGTGTCACAGCCGTGATTTGAAAGGCGTAACCCCTTTGTCTCGTTGTCAGGTCCGTGATCTGCACGGGACTTATTTATTACACTCATGTGAGAGGATCAGCCGTTTTTTCATTCTTGTACAGTGAAGCTAACATATGTACGACTGCGTGTCATATATTGATCGAAAGTGCCGATTTTAGACAGACTAGAGACAAATTTTACGATATGAAATATTTGCTCTATACAATTGATTTCTCAAACGTCTTTTTGAAATCTACCAGAAATTTGTATTTCAGAAAACTTGTGACATTAATATGTTACCATTTCGCTGAGTATGTATGTATACATGCAGATTTAAGCAATTTACTATTCAGTTTGTTTTGGTATGTTAAGTTACCTCGGTGTCCCTTAGTATTGTTGGCAGGACTTATATGACTTACCTTTGCCTGGTCTTTACTCAAATAGCTAACTTACCCTTGCTTATATATCGGAGCCAACACCTGAAAGCAAAAGGTATAAAGCAAACACGTCCCAAGAAAAAAGGACTTTTGGTTTTCTGGTTGCTTTTCCCGATATTTGGCCCATAGACAAAGTCATCATAAGCGTGACTTGCTCGACCATATTTTTGCTCTCATCACACCCTTGGTATACACCTATCGATTAGATTGGGTCTCAGACTAGTATTTTGGCCAGAGGATAGTCTGTCGAATATCTTCCTCCAGTCTGAGTCAGAGAAGATGGCGGTGTTCTCAATTACACGGTATATAGCTACTATATCAACTATTTGTGGTAATTTCTGTATGGACGATTAGGAAATTCTACCATAGGGCATTACGTACTGAGGGTAAAATTCCTCACCACATTTCAGGATTGTCATTGTCGTTGATTTTAGTTGTTGAGACAACATTCAAAATAATGATAAATAATTACATATGGTCTTAACTGGCGGCTTGAAGTGCAAGGCAATATCTATAACATAGTTAAACTATATCAGCTCTAGCTCTGATTGACAGGTAGCCTGTCACTCTTTAGCCCTTCCTCCAGTCTAAGACATTTTTGACAGCTTGTTCGTCGGTTCGTGGAAGAAGTCACACACAAGGGCAAGATAGGTTTATTAGCTTCCGGCTTGAGATCCGCAGCAATTTTCGATTTAAAATCTGTTTTTCTTTTGCGTCATTTAAAAAATACCTCTCTGGGCCTTTGCTTTGAAGAGGCAAAAATAAATCATGCTATTTAATATAAAATAGATGTCTGTCATTTATCAGATTTTAATTTATTTTCTGTGAATTATCCTGACCAATCAGGAGTCATCGTACAATTCAGTAATTATTATTATTGTGCTAAAAGCCATTTGTCAAGATTTATTTTGATATCGGTGCTATAATGTACAATACAAAGACGGTCTGGTTTGATATCATATCTTTGTGTGACGTACTGAACCTGCTCCAACATAATAGCACAAACAACGAATAGAAGTACAACATGCATGCCCTTTTCAATGATAGAATATCATTCTAAGCTTTATCAACCAG